CCCCAAAACCCCAAAACCCCAAAACCCCAAAACCCCAAAACCCCATATAAAGACTGGCAGTTGATCAATATTAATTAATTAATTTTAAAACCATTTTGTGATGAAAAGTATCTCAACTGCATTGACTCATGGAGTATACCATAGCAAAGCCCAGGAGTGGGACCAACATGGAAAGATCATTGCTGAATACATCTGGATCGATGGAACTGGACTTAATCTCAGATCCAAGTCCAGAACTCTCTCAGGAAAGATAAATGATGTTTCAGAGCTACCAGAGTGGAACTTCGATGGTTCTTCAACAGAGCAAGCAGCTACTGAAGATTCTGAAATCATTATCAAGCCAGCTGCTTTCTTCCCAGATCCATTCAGAGGTGGGGACAACATCCTTGTCATGTGCTCTACTTACAGATGGGCTGATTCCGAGAAGACTAAGTTGACCCCAGCTAACACCAACTTCAGACATTTTACTGAACCAATTTTCGAGGCTGGTAAAGATGAACATCCTTGGTTTGGAATTGAGCAAGAGTACACATTGTTTGAATGCACCAACGCCTTTACTAAGTGGCCACTTGGTTGGCCTGAGGGAGGATTCCCATCTGCTCAGGGACCATACTACTGCTCAGTAGGTGCCACTACTTGCTTCGGAAGAGCCATTATGGATATTCACTACAGAGCCTGTCTTGCTGCTAAGGTAAATATCTCTGGAACTAATGGAGAAGTCATGCCAGGACAATGGGAGTTCCAGATCGGCCCATGTGAAGGTATCTCTATCGGTGACCATCTCTGGATGGCTAGATACTTATTAGGAAGAGTCACTGAAGACTTCAATGTTGGACTCTCCTTTGAACCAAAGCCACTAAAAGGTGACTGGAATGGAGCTGGATGCCACACAAACTTTTCTACTCAAGCTATGAGAGAAGAAGGAGGTATCAAGGAGATCTATGAAGCTGTTGAGAAGCTCTCAAAGAGACACAAGGAACATCTTGAGGTCTATGGCCTCGACAATGAACAGAGACTCACTGGTAAACACGAGACTTGTGACATGGATACCTTCAGATCTGGACTAGGAGACAGAGGAGCCTCAATTAGAATTGGAACTTCAGTGAACCTAGACAAGAAAGGATATTTCGAAGATAGAAGACCAGCATCCAACGTTGATCCATACCTTGTAGCAGCCATGCTTGTCTCTACATGTGTTGCAGGAAGTGAACATGAAGAGGGACTTGTTGAACATTACAGAAAGTGGGCAGAGGAGAGAAAGGCTATTGAGAACTCTTCATAATTTAATCACCTAAATATTTCAGAAAAAGAAATCACCTAATTTAATTTATGGTTTTTGAGTTTAGAAAGATTTGGATCCAAACTTAGAATTCCATTAGTATCTACTTCATGGGGTTTTGGGGTTTTGGGGTTTTGGGGTTTTGGGGTTTTGGGGTTTTGGGG